AGGAGCATGTTAAAATATAAAATTGTAACTCTTCACTTCTCAGTCCGCACCATAACTTTAGAGTTTTGGTAAAGTGAGAGACATATTTAAAATAACATCAGAGCGACCCTGTTCAAATCCCAACATACACGCATTTGAAGCGCGTTCTAAGAGAAAATCACCGCACACAAACAGCTCATGTTTCGGTCCAAGAAAAGGGCGATAAACTAGCATAGGCATATTATAATATAAAATCATAATTCTCAACCCTCATGTCTAAGGGACTTTAACAACATGGTTCACGAGATTGCAATAGAAACAAACTGAATTCATGAAGAGTGGAAAGGGAATAAACATACAATTGGATCAGGGGCATCAACTTGCTTGCACATAATCCACGGAACTCGAACATCAAGAGCAAGCGCCAATTTTGCTGCCCATGATGCATACACCTTGTCACCGGGGCCGCCATAGTGCTCCACAGGTCCATACTCATTCTCAATCTGATAAATTTTAGTCATAACAAGCAATGCATAAAGCAATCATAAAGTTTAGCCACAAAAAGAAATACGTAAGTTTTCTAGTCCTCCCTCGTATCTCCTCCTACTATACAGTCTATACTTCCTCCTCTTCTTCCTGATGTATATTCTATCTATTTTCTCTAATTAACAAAACTTCTTAAATCATGGGGTTTTCTGTACAAAAAGTGTGTGACACAATAAAAGCCCAAATGGAGAAAGATTGGGGATACCTGCGAAAGGATAATGGGACCACCTTGCCAAGCATATAACCCTTCTGTCTTCATCATGGAAACTATCTTCTTTATGAATTTCTCCATTTCAGCCTAGCACCCATAATCAAAATCAACTTTCAGAAGAAAAAAAATAATTAATTAATTAATTCAATAAAGTGTCTGGTCAATTCCAACCTTGAAAGGCTCATTATCAGTTCTGAAACTGATACCCGGTACATACTGTTAGGAATTTAACGCCTAATCCCCTAATTGCAACGGAAACGCAGTATAGAAAAGTACACCAAGATTTAACGAGGTTCGGCAACTGCCTACGTCCTCGGGAGCCACACAGATAATTTCTTATTAATTAAACAAGAAATTACAATTTAGGAGCGTATCTCAAAACTGAGATTTCTCTGATAAACACTGTAGCTACAGTGTTAATAATCAAAGGGTATGAACCCTTTCAATTCTCAACTTAAGAATAAATGATACCCCACAATATAAAACCCCAATGGAAACTATCTTCTTTATGAATTTCTCCATTTCAGCCTAGCACCCATAATCAAAATCAACTTTCAGAAGAAAAATAATAATTAATTAATTAATTCAATAAAGTGTCTGGTCAATTCCAACCTTGAAAGGCTCATTATCAGTTCTGAAACTGATACCCGGTACATACTTCAGCCAAACAGGAAACCCCCTAAACACAGAAAAAACCATGTAAGTTAATCCCAATTCCTCACGAAAAAAACATTGCAATTTAAGCAAAATCTATTCAGAAAAATACCCAAAATTCCATTCAGCGCAAATGTAAGGGCCTAATCTAAGATGAACATAGAGCCCAGCCTCCTCCACGAGCTTAACAAACCGAACAAGATCATATCTTTCCTCAAAGTAATACTACATATATGTATACCAAACAAAACTCAGTGTAAAATGATCGAAACTTTAATTACCAAGAAAACCCACATGAAATTTAGAAATCACCTGGCCAGGGGAAGGCTCGTGCCCATTCCAGAACACATAGGTCTCTATAACATCCAAGCCCCCATCTTTAGCCTTTCGAATGAGATCAGGCCACATCTGCACGCAAGCCGGATGAAATAAACTGAAAATTAACATTAAAACTTGGTGGTAAATTCGGGAAAAATGAGAGAAACCCAGAAGCAGAATTGACCTCAGGAGTGCTCCTGGGGTAGTGAATGGAGCCAGAGATGAGGATTTTTCGCTGCCCATTGATTGTGATTGCTCTGTGATCATAAGAAACAGAGGTGGGCCTGTTGGGTTGAGGGAGGGGGTACCAGAGAGTTGAGAGGATTACTAGACAAGCAAGGAGGAGGACTGTGGGTGTTGAGCGATGAGGGGGAGTGGGTTCTGCCTTCGACGACATTGGTGGAGGTTAGAGAGAGAGAGAGAGAGTGTGTGGGGGGGATTCTGAGGAACTTAAAATATGAAAGCAGAGCGAGAGAGAGAGAGAGTGCGTGTGTGAGGAGCTGGAGGTCAGAATTGTAAGTGTACCTAAAAAAGGTGGAACCCAAATGGTGACCCAACCGACATTGGCGTCCACAGTAGATGTACGTGAAGAAAAAAATCTTGGTTGTTTTTGGTAATTAGGGGGAAGCATTAATTGGTAATGAGAGAGAGGGTGAGCATTAATTAAGTAATGTGGACTCTTTTTTGTAAAAAGAAACTAGAAGAAGGGATTTTTTTTTTTTAAATTAGATGCATTTTTGTCAGTTTTGTTAGTTTTGTGGTTTCAGAGAGGAAAAGTTTAGGAGAGTTTTGTGGAAAATGCTCTCAAAGAGTTTTTTTTTTTAATCACAAAATTTTTCCACCATTATTATGAAGTTATTACCTCCTATTAAAGGTGTGTATAATTTTCGGATGCAATGTATAAACTGGTATTCAATGAGAACTTGAGAAGTAAAAAAAAAACTCTTTTTTCCCCATAAATCACCATTTGTCAGAAGAACATGATTCATTGGATAGTCTTCCACACATTTAATTATTATTTTAAATATATTTTTAATCTGTCTCATTTATGCTTGAACCAAAGGTTGAAGATCTCATTGATGGAAAAATACCAGCTTGCACCGAGGTTCATGGTATTAAATTATATCATACTCCCCTTAAAAGGATGAGTTCAAGAAAATCTTTCGGTAGAAAAAAATACTATTGGAATTCAAATACTAATCCATTAAGTAAAAGTAAGTTGATAAATTGATGCATTCCTATTGGATATGCATAGTATGTAGATAAGGATATAGATTAAATTGAAATGTAAACCTGAATGAAATTATTAAATGTCAAATTTATAAATATATTCAAGATGAAGGGCGTATATGCAAAAACTAAACAAATTAACGAGACAAATAATGTTTGCCCCAAAGGTCGAACCCAAGAACAACACAGAATTACAAATGTTTGTAATGTGGATAGGATATTTGCAAAAATCACCAAATAAATTAAAGAGACAAAAGCTATTCTCAAAATTATAAAAAAGAAAAATTAAAATAAATGGCTGCGATCTGAGGACACAACGTGACGATCTTTCACCGACTAAAATTCAAGTAGTTCACGGTACTGCATAATTAGTTTTAAATTTTAATTATACTATTTTTATTTAAACAGAACTCGATTTACAATTGTTATTCTCTCACATGCAACATCACATACTAATTTATAGGCTAAAAATTTACAACAATTTCTATAGCACTTTCATCTCATTCTATAGGTATGTGCCTTTATTTTTTTTCTTATTAGATTACATTAGATTATTTTAAAATATTTAATTATATTGTATATTTAATCTTTTTTCATATCAAGAAATAACAATAATTTTCACAGCACTTTTATCTATTTTCTTCTTAATAGATTAGATTAGATTATTTTAAAACAATTAATTATATTGTATGTTTGATCTTTTTTTTAAATCAGAAATTACAAATAATTTTTATAGCACTTTTATATCCTTCAACAAGTATGTGCCTTTGTTATTTTCTTATTATTAGATTAGATTGGTTAAAAATTATGAATTATGAAATTACAACAATCTTCACATCACTTTCATCTATTTTTTTTCTTATTGGGTTAGATTAGATTATTTTAAAGCAATTAATTATACTAAATATTTGATCTTTTTTTTTAGAACACAAAGTTTAATTACACTATTATTATTTAAATAGACATTGTTTGTATAAAAGTCAAACAGAATATCACATGTATCTTATATCTCAATGCCAATTGTAATACTTACACATGATGTTGGTTAAAATAAATTTTATTTATGGGCTTAACTTATATGATCCTACTTTAACCGGATTAGCTAATTTAATTTTTTTTACACTCAAACTCTTCTACAAAACCAAAAGAGAATAGCAATGTTGTAGCTATATATATCCACTAGACCACAGATATCTTGAAAACTACACAAACAAAAATCATACTAATTACCTCCACATACCCACTGTTTTTAAAACTGTTGGGTATCAACTCAAACTCCAAGTTAGTATAGTGTTTTTAATTCTTTGTAGAACTTCATGAGAATTAGATAGTGTTAGAGATCTATCATGATTAGGAGTTTGAGTTCCATCATGATTAGGAGTTTGAATCTTATTCTAATTAGGAAGTTAGACTAGAGATATGGTTTTAGTTTCCCTATATATGTCCTTCTATTGTTAGAGGAAATACAAAGAAGAAGAAGTGTAGAGAGAAAGAGAGAGAGAGGGTTTGACAGTCTTTGTCCATACAAAAGATTGTAATTTGGAGGTGATAGTAGATTGATTTTGATTCTGTAGTTTTTTCCTATTGAGGGTTTTCCATGTTAAATCTTGTGTGATTTTATTTGCTGTGTTTGGTGGTTTTTCGGGGGTTTTTTCGAGATCTAAAAATTCCATATAAGTGTAGGCGTCAAAAAATGCTAATAGATATCCCAAACATAGAGAAGATCACTCAAAGGGATCTCATATTGAAAATCAAAGCAGGAATGAACTGTCTCGCCAGCGAGACAGGCTTTGCCGTCTCACCAGTGAGACAGTATTTGCCGTCTCGCCAGCGAGACAGTGTTGAAATTATCAAAACTACCTTTGTAACTGCCCTACACGTGTCCATTAACTGCCAAGGGACGTGGGAAACACCGTGGGCGAAAATCACGTGAATAACTGCCAAAATAACGGAGTTTGAAACGTGGGAAGGCAGTTAAAACGAAAACTGCCTGCGTTACTGTTTCCGAGACAGTATTTACTGTCTCGCGGTCAAAATCCCCTCTCGATTCCCCCAATGAACGAGAGGTCCACAAATTGAGCGATCAAACCTTCCTACAGTTAGGATTGTCTCAAAACACCCACTTGGTCAAACCTTCTTACAGTTAGGACCACAGTCAAAATCCCCTCTCGATTCTCCCAATGAACGAGAGGTCCACAAATCAAGCGATCAAACCTTCCTACAGTTAGGATCGTCTTAAACCCGCCATTGGTCAAACCTTCTTACAGTTAGGACCACAGTCAAAATCCCCTCTCGATTCCTCCAATGAACGAGAGGTCCACTTTCAAATCGAGTGATCAAACCTTCCTACAGTTAGGGTCACCTCAAACTCCTGTTTGGCCAAACCTTCCTACAGTTAGGGTCAAAACCATAATTCGCTCTCGATAAATGAGAAATTCATCTTTAGTTCGGTAATCAAACCTTCCGACAGTTAGGGTTATCCGAATCTTTTCGATTCTCGGAGTGGAGATCCCACTCTCAGTTTCACCTTTCCGGATTCTGGGGGTGGAGATCCCACCTCGAGTCTCCTTTCCAGCTGAAGGTAGAATATAAAATTCTTCTTCTTCAGTGTCGGGAGATAGAATATAAAATTCTTCCTCTCCCATTTCGGGTTCGTCTTTGCCCCAAGAGAAGACACCACCTTTTTTAAATCCCAAAATCTGTGCCTCACGGGTACATGGAATTTTATCCCGAATCCTAAGTAGGGATAAGTCAACGCCTAACACGTGTTGCCGGTTTAGTCTTTTACCGATTGAAGAAGACACTAGAATTCCAGTCTAGGAAGTTTATCCCGAATCCTAAGCAGGGATAAGTCTGCGCCTAACACGCGCTGCCGGTTTAGTCTTTTTCCGTAGAAAAAGACACCAGAGTTCGATTCTGGGGTATTCTATCCTGAAATCTAAGCAAGGATAAGTCTGCGCTTAACCCGCGCTGCCGGTTAGTTCTTAATCGCATATTCGACATTGTGACAGGTTGTTATTAATAACACCAAAATCCATGCCTTACACGCATGGGGAATTTCATCCTGAATCCTAAGAAAGGATATGCCGACGCCTAACACGCGTCGCCGGTTTAGTCTTTTACCGATTGAAAAAGACACCAGAATACCAGTCTGGGGTATTTTATCCCAAAGCCTAAGTAGGGATCAGTCAGCGTCTAATACACATTGCCGGGTAGCCTATTCCCGTAACAATGGTGAAGTCTACGTATTCGAAGTCATAGTATCAAGTCTAAGGGAGTTCATTCCTTTAGCACAACATCACATGCGGAACGGATTTAGATAATCCGCATGCTAGCCCGACTCAAACGGTAGTCGGTAAAGGCTAATCAAATCCGTTAAAGGCTGGGGGTTAGCCAAAAATCCTAAAGTCAACGCCTAACACGTGTCGCCGGGTAGCCTATTCCCGTAACAATGGCGAAGCCTATGTATTCAACATCATAGCACAAAGTCTCAGAGAATTCACTCTCTTAGCACAACGTTACATGCGGAACGGATTTAGACAATCCGCATGCTAGCCCGACTCAAACGGTAGTCGGTAAAGGCTAATCAAACCCGTTGAAGGCTGGGGGTTAGCCAAAAACCCTAAAGTCAACGCCTAACACGCGTCGCCGGGTAGTCTATTCCCGTGAGAAAACCCTAGGGTTAACGCCGGACAACGTGTAACCCTAGGTCAACGCCAGTCAACGCGTTGCGATCAAAAGGTCAACGTACGACGGTCAAAACCCCAGGGTCAACGCCGGACAACGCGTAACCTTAGGTCAACGCCAGTCAACGCGTTGCGAGCAAAAATTCAACGTACGACGTTCGAAACCCTAGGGTCAACGCCGGTCAACGCGTAACCCTAGGTCAACGCTAGTCAACGCGTTGCGATCAAAAGTCAATGTACGACATTCGAAACCCTAGGGTCAACGCCAGTCAACGCGTAATCCTAGGTCAACGCTATTCAACACGTGGCGATCAAAAAGTCAGCGTACGACGTTTAAAACCCTAAGGTCAACGCCGGTCAAAGCGTAACCCTAGGTCAACGCCAATCAATGCGTTGCGATGAAAGAATCAATACTCCGAAAAGTATACGAGTATAAATTGCTTCTTAATACTCCGAAAAGTATACGAGTATAAACTGCTTCTTAAATACTCCGAAAAGTATACGAGTATAAACTGCTT